GGAGCCTCTGTGGACCGAGGCTCGCAGCATGCCGACTCTTCTTCGGCGAGGAAAGCTTTTCTCCGCACTTTCTTTTTGCTCTCAGTAAGAATTCTGCCGCCGAAAGCGATGGTTTTCGTGAAGAGTCGGTGCTGGGGCGAGCGCAGTGAGACAAGCACTCGGAGCACTTGGAGTGCAGTCGGTAACCTCACATCCAGGGCCGGGGAGCTAAGCGCACCCAGCGGGCCGGATGATCGGGATCGGGTTACGGGCTAGAGAGCCCTAGCCCCGGGGGTGCGCATTCGCAGGGCAAGGGCCTTAAAGTAAACACGGGTCTCCGAGGGTTGGTTCTGCGCTTTGGGTGTCCCCTAGCGGCGGAACGCCCCCTCTATGTTTTTTCTTTCACCGCCCCCTTCTGAGAGAGATTTTTGAAGACCAACAAGAAATCACGACGCCGTGATTTGGGCTTTCTTCTTCCCTTCTGCGCCTTTCCGGTAGGTCTGCCCCACTGTTTTCTTTTTTCTTTCGTTCACCCCCCCTACACCTGTGTTATAATAGGTCGGCTCAGGGCCCCGTCCACTTCCCTCCCGCTTGGCGCGTGATGATGAGGAGATGCCACCCTCAATACAAACAAGCGTGAGCTTCTCAGGCAGGAGCGATCCCCGGCGGCGCCGCCCCTCCACGCGGGCGCGTTCGTCTTGCGCCATTCGGCGGCCGTCCACGTGATCGTCTTCGAGGCCTTTCTGGCTGCGTTGGTTGCCTCTCGCACCGCCACCTGCATCGCGGTGAGGCGCTCGCCGTCGCGCCCCCCTCGCGTGGGGGGTGGTACGTAGCCCGTTGCCGCCATTCCCGCCCTGAACCGCTTTTCTCCGCACTTTCTTTTTGCTCTCAGTAAGAATTCTGCCGCCGAAAGCGATGGTTTTCGTGAAGAGTCGGTGCTGGGGCGAGCGCAGTGAGACACGCACTTCTTTCTTCTTTGCACAGCAGGCGGGAGTGTTTCCTCGCGTGAGTGAGTGAGTATTCTTGATACGAAACCACGACGACACACACCAGTCGACTCGCATCGGTTGCCTCCATGAACGGCGGAGCTATTCTCGCGCCCACACCACACCTGGCTCCAACGTGGACACGCCCATAGCTGGGGACACTACTAGGTCACGCATGGCATCAGAAGTTTTGTCTCTGGGCCCCGAAAGGCATCTCTAGCAGCGTCGTTACACATGCCCCCTCCCCTCCTGGGCGCATGCGCCTCACGTCTCGCCAGAGCATACGCCCTTGGTGTGTGGCGAGACGAGTTTTTCGCCATGCAGCGAGCAGCAAGCCGCCCGCCGCAACCAGCCGGAGGCCTCGCCGCGGCACTGGCTGCGCCGCGGTCCCGCACCCGTCGACGCAGCTCCCCCAGGCGCTGCAGCTGCACAAGGCCTATGATTGCTCGCCGGCGTGCACACCGCGCTGGTCGCAATCACTGGTTAACGTGATGTCCGGCTCCGCAGAGCCATGTGCGTATTGTGCCAAGTACGCGGCTGGCCACTGCATCGGATTGGGCGCCTTCCCAGATCTGGAGACGCAACAGCAGCAGCGCAGGCTCGAGCTCGAGGCGCAGCACAGGAGCGCAGGTACGCTGCCGCCGCCGCCGCCAACGACGAGTGGCAGCAACGGCCTCCTGCAGGCGTTTGACGAGGGCGACATGCCGTACTATTACTACAAGGACACGTCGCGCACCCTCGCGTGCAAATACGAGCTACTCGACACCAGCGTCGCCAATCCGGAGTGGGCGCGCGATCCGCCAGCCGACGTGGCTGTCACCGAGGGCAAACCACCGGAGCGCTCCGAGTACGACCTCGGTGAGCACGGGCAGAAAGCATATCGTCGGCACCGCGCGCGGTGGTACAGGGAGCACACATGCAAGGAGCTCACCGGCAGCCTTGAGGAGCAGAATGAGCAGTGGAACAACTACACGCGCAACTTCCGCGCACGTGGCGATAGTGCTCCGCTCGAGAGGCGGCATGTTATTGAACCACTCTGGGATGATTGATTCAGAGTGATATGTGTAGATAAAAACTCCTTTGTCCCCACAAAGTACCCTGCACAAAGATCGCACGGGCGGCGGGGACCTGTTCCTTTTTACCCGTCTCACAGTAGGGGTCCGTTTTTATTTAGACTGCACTCCAAGTGCTCCCAGTGCGAGGAGGGAAACCGACGGGAAGCAGACCGGAAAACAAATACGGCGCGCGTGCGCGCTGCTAGTTGTACACAAATACTGTTATATGATAGTAATAGAGCAGTTTGGTCGGAGGGCGCCCGGGTCGCCCCGGAGCGGCCCCGCGCGGGGAGGTGGGTGGAGGGCGGGCGCCACGCCGTCGGGCAGGCCGCGCGGGGACGCAGCCGGGGCCAGCGCGCGGCGCTAGAGGGCCGGGCGCAAACTTGTTGCACCTGCACCTGCACCTGCACCTGGGTGCAGCGAGTTTTGGTGGTTCGAAATGCGGAGCGCGCAGTCCGTTGTGGTTCGAAACGCGATGCCTCCGTTGGGAGACACGGACGGCGCCGGCGGGAGCGACGCGGCCGGCGAGGCGCCGCACTCGGTCGCCGTCCTGCCGGTGATCAGCGAGCCGGTCGAGCGTGACCAGTTGCATTCGAATCTGAGCACCACATTGAGGCCGTTGGTGGAGAGGGATCGTCGCGAGCGAGGTGACGAGGATGGAGCTGTGGGTGTAGCCGGTCGAGGCACGGCCGCGTCGTCCACGACGAGTCGTCGGAGAAGGGCGAGACGTCGAAGCGCCGTGACGGTGATTCTCGGGCCGAGGCCGATGTCTCGAAGGGAGGAGCTGACTTGTCAGCGCCTTCGCAACGCGGTTCAATTGTGGACGACGGTGTAGACGGGGATGGGATGGTGCGACGACATGCGGGACAAGCTGCGATTGCACATGCTTCTGCATGCTACGTGTTCGCACCGCGAGGTCGAACCGAGGTTTATACGGGTGTGGCTCCAGGGTCCGGTGCTCCAGGATGCAGCGGCTGCGAACCGGCGCAGGTGTGTCCGCAATGCGCTCACTAACGTGGCTGAGCAGGAGCATGAGGACGGCAACCACGCACGAATGTCTGTGCTGTACGCGCGAGCGATGCTGGCCTATCATTACACACTGGCTGCGATCGGGAAGCACATGCATAACCTACAAGACGGAGAGCAGAGTACGGATTCAGATCTTGATGAGGCGGGAGAGATCTTGGTTGCCGCCGAGGATCTGCTTTCCCAGCTGGAATCAGTGAAGCAGATGTGGTACAATGCCGGTTTTCAAGGCAACTTTGCGGAGAAGAGTGTGCGTGACGCCTTTGCGGATCGGACTAGTAGTGTGCTTGCCCAGCTGGCAGTGACGTCACTGCACACGTTGCAGAACCACATGCGAAATACGACTGCCGGTGCGAGGTTTTCGGAGATTGCTGGTGATATGTCTGCAAGGACCAGCACGACAGAGCGGCAAGAGCGAGACAACAAGGAGGCGGGGGCGTCTTCGGCTGCTGAGGTTACGCAGACCGACTGCAGCAAGAGGCTTTGAGGGAGCTTACACACTGACGGCGTTGTCGAGCGTGTGTGTATTTGTGTGCGGGGTTGATGTGTGTGGGCTTGGTAACGTGTGGTTATAATCTGTTCACCATAGCCTCCGGGGAAAAGATACAACCATGGATGGCGCGTTCCATTTATTCCATAGCGCACAAGCTTGTGTGAGCGAGCGCTGGAAAGGCGTGGCTGGGTGACGCAGGGGAATGCAGGCAGGGGGATGGAGGGCTCGGTAGTGGCGGCAAGGGTAGTGGTGGTGAGTGACGGCGGCGGAGGTGAAGGTGCGGGCCCACCACGCTTTCTCTTTTGCGACGCACGAGGCGGTGCTCAAATAGATGAAGGTCGAGACGAGATCTACTAAAGCGGAGCGACTCCCGAGACCGTGGGCAGCAGGATGCTTGCAATCTCCCACGAGACGGTGCATGAAACGATGCGAGACGTGCGTGGTGGGGCGACAGCAGCGGCAGCTGGAGCTGGTTCGTCGCCGGCGAGGCGGCAGACGAGTCGAGGATGGAGATGAGCCGCACTCATGCGGGACGATAGGAGATTTGGTGGTCGCACGGTATAGTTGGTGACGAGGAGGCACGCGAGTCGAGGCTCGGGTAGCGACACGTCCTCGGAGGAGGCGGCGGCAGTAGCCGTCGAGAGGGCGGAGGACATGCTCAAGAGAGGCGTGGGTAGCAGCTGAGAGCTGGAGGCGGCGCACGAGTCTGGTAAGGGGTAGAAGGTGAGCGAGATGAGACGCTCTCGGGGGGAGCGACAGCTGAGTGTGTCAGGGGATGCAGCCGGTCGCCTGTGGCCAACCTCCCACGAGTGGTCGCACGGCATAGTTGGTGACGAGGAGGCACACGAATCGAGGCTTGGGTAGCGACACGTCCTCAGAGGAGGCGGCGGTAGTAGCCGTCGAGAGTGCGGAGGACATGCCCGAGAGAGGCGTGGGTAGCAGCCGAGAGCTACTCGAGTAGAGGCGGCGCACGAGTCTGGTCTCAGGTAGAAGGTGAGCGAGAGCTAGAGGCGGCACACGAGTCTGGTCTCGGGTAGAAGGTGAGCGAGATGAGACGCTCTCGGGGGGAGCGACAGCAGAGTGTGTCAGGGGAAGCAGACGGTCGCCCGTGACCAACCTCCCACGAGGCGGTGCATGCGTCGAAGCGAGACCAGCATAGGTGGGGCGACAGCAAAGGCAGTCGACCGACTGGGTCGTCGCCGGCGGGGCTGCAGACGAGTCGAGGTCGGAGATGAGTCGCACTCAGTCAGGCGGGGCGACAGGAGATGCCGCAGGTCGCACGGTATAGTTGGCGACGAGGAGGCATACGAGTCGAGGCTCGGGTAGCGACACGTCCTCGGAGGAGGCGGAGGCAGCAGCCGTCGTGAGGGCGGAGGACAAACTGAGGTGTGCAGTCGGCTCCATCTCGATGAGCATGCCCCACGCCGAGCGAAGTCTTGACGAGTCGAAAAGCATATCCACATGTCAAGCAAGCTCACCCTGATCCACGTCCCAGTCGGCAACAACCCAGCCAGGATCCGGCTCCTCATCTACCTCAAGGGCCTCGAGGACCAGATCGACATCAGTACGCCGGCCGACTATGGCGGCATGAGCAGCGACGCCTATCGGGCGCTCAACCCGCAATGCAAGATCCCGACGCTGCTCCTTCCAGACGGAAGCGCGCTCTACGAGAGCCGGGTCATCTCCGCTTTCCTCGCGGACAAGTACCGTGACTCTGGCCCGAGTCTACTGGCCGAGACGCCAGAGGCACCGCCGCCAACCTCAGCCAATGCAAAGCCGCCACAGCCGCCGCCCTCTCCACCACCGCCACAGCCGCCGCTGCCCGCTCCGCGTTTCTGACGTCGTCGTCGCCGCCGCCCGCCAGGCGCGTGCCCGCGCCCTTCTTCTCAACTCGATCCACGACCTGTACATCGCGTCGCCAAACTCGTCCGACCCGGCGGTGACCGCCAACCAGGGCTGCGGCTACAAGGGCGTCGAGCTGATCGACGCGCCGGCACGCGCCGCCAAGCTGAGGGAAGTGGCCAAGCAGGTTGGCGTGCTCGAGGGGCTCGTCGTCGGCCCTTACGCCGCCGGCGCCGCGCTGACCGAGGCGGACTGCGCCCTCTATCCCACCCTCGCGCTGCTGCTCCCCTTTTGCCTCGAGCACGCCTTTGGCTGGCCGACTCTTGTGGGAGCCGAGCACCCGCGGCTGGCCAAGTGGCTGGCCGAGATGGAAAAGCTGCCCGCGGCGCAGCGCGTGAGGGCGGAGGTGGAGCCGGCGCTGCAGGGCTGGCTCCACGCCGGCCGCTTCGAGCCGATCCGCGCGCAGGTGGCGGCCGCCGCGTCTCTCGCATGGGATCGCGAGGCGGTGATGGCGAGTCTGTGAGAGCCAGCCGCCGCGACCGCCCTCTTAGAGGATTGTGCCGGCCGTGACACACGACAGAGCCGCACGTCGTGTTGGCCTGACGTGCACGTGGCCTGACGCTCCATGCCCCTGACTCGGGGGGCTGTCATCAGGCTCATCCTACATGGTAATTTCTCGCAGCTGCGAGACAAGTTTTCTCGGAGCGACAGCCTCAAAGACAAAAGGGTGGATGGGTGGGGGGTGACCGCTGGTGAGCGCCAGCGGTGAGCGCCAGCGCGCCCCAGGAACGGTGGGGTGCCCTCGACCGCGCGTCCAAGTCACTTGGGCGGACGAGCGAGCGGCACATGGCCTGACAAAGAGAAATCGGAGTCTAGCGACGAGACCGAATCTGACCAGAGGCCGTCGTCTTCAGACGCCGTCCTCAGACGAAGGTGCCTTTCAGAGGTGTCCTTCAGGAGCGTAGCTGACGTCAGTCTGTGCGCGCTCTCTCGCCTCGTCGAAGTTTGGGATTGATTTTGAGGAAGGGGAGTTTCGCTGGAGACGGGATCCTCGCATGGCTCTGCCGTGGCTGCCGTGCTCGCAGCGGCGCCCGCTCGTGGCCCGCATCAGCCCGAAGCCCGCTGCGGCTTCCCGACTCTTCTGGCTGGGCCGCGACTGCCATGTGGAGCGCCGCGCGGCCGCTGCGCATCGCCAGATCGCCATGTTTGTCGGCGTTGGCGCACACTTCGATGCACGCTCCGGAGGCATCTTCGGCCGCACACCCGCTGCACAGATTGCCCGTGGGCCCGAGGCGGTGTGCGACTCGCTGGTGCGCCGGGCGCGGCGCCGTCAGCGCCGCGGCGTGGCTGCTCGCGCTGCCTGGGCGCTGCCCACTCACGGCTCAGCGGGCGGGCAGCACTATCGCTGCTTGTGCGCCAGCCGCGGGCGCTCATCGCCCGACCGCCTCTCTCTGGGGGGGGGGGGGGGCGGCGAGCGCTCACGTGTGTGTGCGGCTGGACCACTCTCGAGGGCGACGGCGAGGCTGCCGCCACCGCCGCCGCCTCGAGTGCGCGCTGCGCCAGAATCACTTCTCCAGCCGCACCGACGAGGGCGTCGGGTTCGGCGCTCGCGGCAAGGCGCTTGCCCGAAGGGCGAGAGCCTCCTGACCCGTCGCGCCCGCTTTGCGGCGGCGCCGCTGCCCTCGCACGCCGCCGCCGCTGCTGTCTCGCCTCACGCGACGTGCTGTCGGGAATCGCCCGCCGCCGACTACTCTACGGAAACGTGGCGGTCTGCAGTGCGACCCGCCGCTGTGGCGGCAGCGCGCTCCCCTTGTCCCGGCGCCCGGCGAGTGGACCCGGCAACACCTCCGCCGTCGGCGGGGCACGCTCGGCTCGCCCCTGCCGGCGCGTGCTGCCGATCGCGCCGCGACCCAGTCCGCGGCGCCTTCCACTGCCTCGACGGCAGCTCGGCGAGCGGCGTTGGCGCTCGCTCCGGCGCACGCCCTGGTCGCATGCCCGCCCTGTCGGTGTGCCCGAGGCGATGTGCGGCTGAGCTCAGAGCTGTCGCCGTCGCTCACTCACTCACCGGGCGCAGCGCCGCCAGCACCACGGCATGGCCGCTCGCGCGGCCTCTGCGCGCTGCCCACGCGCGGCTCGGCCGGCGGGCGGCACCGTCGCCACTCGCGGGCCAGCCGCGGCCGCTCATTGCCACCCCGTCTCTGTGGAAAGGGTGGCGGGCGCGCGCGTGTGCGCGGGTGCGTGCGGCCGGACGACGGCGAGGCCGCCGCCCCGCAGCCGCTCTGCTTTAAGCGTGCGCCGCGCCGTGGTCCCGCCTCTCCAGCCTCGCCGACGAGGGCGTCGTGCTCAGCGCTCAGCGAGGCGCCTGCCCGAGGAGCGAGAGCCTCCTGGCCCGTCGCGTCCGCTTGCGGCGCCGCCGCCGCCCTCGCAA